ATATATATATAATTGTATAATTGTAGAATGTAGAAGGCAACAAGAGGGCAGACCTTTTTGCCCACACAGCCCCAGATAGAATATATCACTGCTCATTCAGCAAAATTCTACCTTCCTGGCTCAAGAAACAGATCAATTAGATTCTTGGAATGCCTAGCAAAACAGATGGGATAGCAGCAACACTGGAAGACTGACACACAGCTTCATCCCCAACATCAAACTCAGAAGAACAAACAAGTATATCATTCCATCTTTCCAGTTGACTCAGCTTCTAACTGGTCATGGCAATCTCAATACTTATCTACGTAGGTTCCTCCACAAAACTAATGGCCTGTGTACTTGCCAGCTCAAAGAAGAAGAGGATCCTATACCCACAATTTATTACTGCCCGCTTTATTTGACTCAAAGAAGGACCATCATCAGGACTATTCAAATGAAAACTACCACTGGCCTTGCAACAGTAGGACTCTCATGGATAATATAAGTATCCACAGGAACCTTGTGGAATTTGCTCATGGTATAAACAAACTGAACTAACTCTGCCCATTCTGGCCTGTTCTCCCTCCTCTCCCTGGTTCCTGCTTGTGTTCTCACTGCACCAATTGAATCTTTGAATTCTGGACTTTTATCAACATCCCAGGACATTTTGTTTATTTGTTCACTGTTCTTTATTCTGCACATAATTTTATTGTTTTAATCTATATATATAAAATTGCTTGTCCTGACTGACTGAATGACTCACTCAGTCATATTTTATATATATGTTACTGTGAAAGACTGAAATTAGAGAATGTCGATATTCTCCGGTGAATATTGACACATACAAAATACGTCGGTGAAAGTCCGAATATTTGGTTATATTATTATACATTCGAACAATTGCCGGTGTATGTCGACAAGCACAGATAAGCTTTGGTGGAGGTAGAAACGACACCTAAGAAGCCGATGTCGACAGAGAGGCGACAGTCTGTTGTCAAATCCTTTGTGGGTAGCCGGAGGTAGGACAAGGTCATACCTCTTTTCCTCGGCAACGGTTTGGTGAAAACCACTTTGTCACTGGATGGCGTTTTTGTTCTTTTGATTCCGTGAGATGAGGATCAGTTTGTCAGATCGAGTGGCGGAGGATGAGAGGGGTCATCGGTAAGGCGTCGGCGATATTCGAATAAAAGACACCATTAACAGATCAGTTCGTAATCAAGTAATAACATAATCAGTTCGTAATTTGTAAAGAAAAGTTACTTTCCATAGATGAGAGTTCTTCTCAAGAAATGTCGCTGAGAGAAGCAGCTGCAGCTAATTCGAAAAGTGGAGGGCAAGGCTATACACGCTGTCATTGCAAAAAGAAGTGTTCCATGAATAAATGCAGTTGTAAAACAAGGGACTCTTGTGCAATTCAAAGTGCCATAACAAGTTAAGTTGTTGAAATAAACAACATTATATAATGTTAATCACATAATTTATGTGTAAGTTTATTATTGTATTGTTTTCTTTAATGATTAAGAATGTACTGTACTGTTCATTTTAGGTTCAACAGTTTATTTACATGTGCTGCTACTTAAGCTTTCTCCTATTTTCACTTAATAAAATGTTGCATTTTTGTTTTAACATAATAAAAATATTTTTATTCAACATTCACCGTCAGTGCATGCTGAATGTTGACATTTGCCGGTGTAAGTGAGAAATAATGATATTTAGCAAATATTTCGTACATACACGAAACGACTGTGTGAATGCTGACATTCACCAGAGAATGTTGACATTCGCCAGATATCGGTCATTCACAGTAACATATATATAAAATTGTAGACATCATTGTAGATATACAGTGTATTTGTATGTATGTATGTATGTATATATATACACGTACATACATATACACTGTATATAATAAATAATAACTGTAAAATGATATCACAAAAGTTTAATAAAAAACTAATTAATAGTATAACAGATTAAAATATTCTAATTTGAAATAATTTAGTAATATTAAAATATTAATAATAAACATCTTTAAAAACATACAGAATTTAAAATCAATTTTTCACATGCTACCAAATTCTAAGAACTGTCGATAATTAAACTTCAATGGCTCATATGATGTAACTATTTTTTTCAAAATTTTGAATATTTCTGGTAGCATATTCAACTACTACCATAGTATTTTTTTTGTAAGAAATCTGTTTCTACTCAAGCGTTTTTTCTCATCTTATTTTACTAACTTTTTTATTTATCACTGTTAGTTAATATATTTTTCCTCTTCCATCAAAACAGTTTTTTAAATTAAAATATTAATTATTATTATTTTTTCATTGTAAATTTTTGTATGGTTTGAAACTAGAAATAGTTTCTTATTGCAAAAGTGCACTAAATTAAAAATTCTTTCTTTTTTATTGGGACCACTGGCTATATTCCAATTAGATAATTCTTCATTTTTCAAAAAAAAAAAAATAATAATAATAATAATCATACATTATCTTTTGATAATTCTTCTTAATCACAATTTTACTGAAATTAACAGACTATTTTTAAAGATAAAGATAATAAAAATTTTAGTTTTATGTCATAATGGAAAAGATAATTTTCTCAACTATTTAACCTCTCCTACATTGTTCCTGAAAATATTCGTGTTTACCTCGTTGACCTGTGTGGGCGATCCCGAATATTTTCATGTTTACATCGGAACGTTTTTGATACTAGATGTCGCTATGCATCACGATTTTTATATTAAAACAAACTTTTAAAATATAATTTTTTTGTTTCTATATAATTCAATATATTTATTTTGTTTCTGAAACATAAAAAAATAATTTTTTACAATACAGTAAACATGATTATCGTTTAAAAAAATAAACAAAAATTTTAGGCTTAACATTGACAAAAATTCAATGTGGCATCACAGGCAACAAATAAAAATTTCAACATTGAATAGGTTAATGTAATTGCAGCTTTCATTAGTATTATTTTATTAGCTAAATCAAAAAAATGTATTCTTCTATAATTTCATTTGATTTATTACTTTTATAAGAAAATATTATCACTTGTAATAGAAAAATTTAATATGGTAAACTCGTTGCCAGTTAAAAAAAATTCTGAGGTAACAATTAATAAGGAATTGAGGAAACAAATATTTTAGCTTTTATTTTCAAAAATTTACTTAATTCTTTTGTTTAATACTAAATTAAATTTATCAAATGTACTTATTTAACTTAAATAATACTAGATCTATATAGTATGCAAAATACAATCAATCATCATATTGTTGATTGCATTTTTTATTTTAGCATATACTGATTTAAAAACCCCCCAAAAAATCTAGAAAGCTTTATTCATTCAACTTTTTGCATGTTTATGTATGTATGTGTATATATATATTATAATAATTAATTTAATTCTGAAAACTCACAATTTGTTTATATATATAATTTTTAAAAATATTTTTATAGATCTCGATCTGGAAGTCGAAATTCTAGTTTAGAAGATCTTACAGTTGCTTCAAGCAATGATACAAAATCACTACCTGATTCCAGTAGTTCCGGTTATTTGACAACACTGGAAAGTAATCTTAAGATTTCTCAAGATTCTGATGAAAATCAAACATTAATTGAAACAGAAAACCAAGATCTTGTTCTCTGCCAAACAGTCATAACAATTGTTTGTGATATTGTGTGGAAAGGTATTGATGGATCAAGTAAACAAATTTGGGAGGTATACTTTGGTTATAAAAAATATTTAAATTAAATGAGTTGTTAACTATTCATGTACCATTTCTATAAACAATCTTTTAAATGAGCCAAAAATTAATAGTATTTTCTTATTAATCATGTTAAATTATTTTTTACTTAGCACTACAGCTATTTTACAGCTATTTTTACAGCTATTTTACAGCTATATTACAGCTATTAAATACTTTACTATTTGATTGTTAACAAATATTTATAAATAAGTAAAGTAAACATCTGAAGTTTATTTTAATATTCAAAATAAGTGAATTTTTTAGAATTTTAGAAATTTAATGTTGAATTATATGAAGACATTCCTGCTTAATGTTTTTCTAGTAGAACATCATTTGATTTATAATACCCAAGTTTTGTATAACATACATATACCTCAATACAGTGTTTTTCCTCCAATGTTTATATAAGAAAAATTTATATTTGTCATGAAAATTTAATACATATTTAATAAAACAATATGCAGGAAAATTGTCAAGTTACATTTCAAACCTAATAAGCAATTATTTATTATAACATCATCACAATGCTGACCTGCAATTTTTAATCATATTTTTAATTTATTTAATTTAAAATATATGCTCTCCACCTCAAATTAGTAATATCTTGCCCTTGTACATCATACTTACTGCTAGCAATAGAGTCATGCCAGTCATCTAACTCCTTTCAGGGAAAATTTTTTAAATTGAAATAACATGATTTCCAGTGCAAATCAGAAGTTTATATATAATTAATTGGGGCCTCCTTCCCTAAGCTTTCCATATCTGGTCTTCACTTTAATCTATCTAACTCTGTTCTCAAGATTAAGGAAGGATAGACAGTGAATAACAATGGAAATTAATAGGTCTACAATTTTTTTCAAATTGCAGCTTAATTAGATAGAACATCAGAATTACCTGTAGATGGTTTGAAAAATACCTCATGTGTTAAGAAATGTGTTAGCTTTTTAGACAAGGATATATATTGTAGATTTATATTGTACTGCTACACTTAGAAATTTATTGTTAAGTTGTTAAAGATAAAACAGACAATACTACACCTGATATTATCAGAGTAGGTAATAGTATAGGAAAATAAGACAGAAATTGTCTCTCTCTCTCTCTCTCTCTCTCTCTCTCTCTCCAACAAGTATTGCATTAATTAAATACAAACATTTGTTGGGATATTTCTATCAAAAGGGAATAAGTACTTCAAAAATAGCTAATACTGAGAGAGTCATCATATTATAAGTTACAACAGCTTCTATATACCTTCTTGATGTCACTAACAATAATCAATCAAATTTATAATTTACAGAATTGTCAGACCCATTTTTAAAACTGAGTTACAGTTCCTAATTTTATTGTAAATTTTTGTCTTCAGATTTTACAAATTTCTTTATTGCAGTGTATTATTTACCATGTGATATTGTAAATGTATTGTTTATAGTATGACATACAGATTATACATTTTATTGCATACAAAGGAACTTTTTTTAATGATTTAATTGTTTGGTAATCAGAATGTGATATTTTAAGCATACATTCTACATTCTAATTAGTAATTTATTTATATGTAGGCATTTTATTGCATTTTACTTACCTTTAGAAAATTGGTTTTGGCTTTGTGTTGTTGATATAATGCATTATTATTTTTTCCATTTAAAATTATGGGAAATAGGATTCCAGTTAATGTTTACCTACAGACTGATTTCCAGGGATTACTGATTTACTGATGCTAAGTGAGGGAAGCCTGTATATAAAATACTTTTGAAAAATATAATAGGAAATTATTCTAATAATAATTTATAATTTTTTTAAATTATTCAATATAATATGTAATTTGAAATCTATATTACCATTAATAGTAAAACAAAATGTAACAAAAAGTCTGAAAATATAGAAACCAGTAATTCATTGATTAATACATTTTTGATACAATAAATTATTAACTTCTATGCTTCTATCTTTTCTAATTTTATTTATTTTAATTATATAGAATTGTTACTTCCATTTATAAATTACCAATAGTAATTTATGAATATTTGAAATCTTTATTAACTTTTGTATGTATTACGTTTTTTCATCTGGACATTCTCCAGTAATGGAAAAGTGACTGAAGAATGTCAGAAAGGTCAAACAAAAAAAATCATACATACATACATACGAAATTGAATAAGAGAACAATTAAAGAAAAGTTAAGAACCCAAAATGCATATTGTTTTTGATATAAGAAATATGATAAAGTTAAGCTCAAGGTTTCTGACTAGTGTATAGTTTAATGAATAAAAGAAATGTTTTAGTCATTAAATAATTTAGAATACAAGAAACTTGCATCCAAATGATGAGAATTGAGTTGACTTGGAATTATTGTTGTTGAGTACTTAACTGAAGATATTTTTATCTCATACAATTGGAATATAAGGTTATCTTACATAAATCTTCAGGATACTCTGTTTGCTTTTGAAATCTGTCTGATAGCTTGTGGATTGTGGACAAGTTTACAATAAACCAGTTTAACTCATTTTGAGATTAACCATCCTCAAGCAGTTTATTAGTTTTACTCACTTTGTAGGATGATAATTTTAAGATATCTCCATAACTTGTATTTTAATATTATTTAATTTATACAGACTCAAAATAAAATACAGTAGCTTTAAAGTTAGCTTCTTGAAAAATGGCTGATATGTTTATCCAGAATTGCATGAATTTGCTTATGTTAGTAGAAAATAAGTCATTCTTATTTTTTTCGTTCAAATCACCTTTCATTTTTTTAATTTATGAAAACTAATATAGATATTCAGAAGCATCTTTTATCACTGCAGGATTAGAAGTTTCTCTGAAAATTGGTTTTGAAAATGTTTTGGTATATTTTGAAAATGTCAAGTTTGTTGATGATGAATTCAAATAAGAATATTATGAAATTGGATATTTTATATTATTAATTTTAAACAATTAAAATATTACTATACTTAAAAATTTTTATATTATAGTATTTAAATATATTTTTCGTTTTTATTCTTAACATAGGAATATGGCCACGTTTTTGCTTGTGTGAATATGCTTGCATTAAGTAATGAATTATATTCATCCCATTTAGAAATAAAAAGACATATCTTAGAATATACATTACAACTATGTTTGAATGATATTCAAGAAACAGGTAATAAAATATATTTAATATTGTAATGTTTATGTAATAATAAAAATTAAAAAAAAATGTTTTTAACCATCAAAAAAAGTCCAAAAAATGAAATAAATGAGATAAGAATATTTATTATCTTTTAGTTTAGAACATGATGATTACAAGGATTAAATTTTAATACAAACTCACTTGTCAGTTTATTGGTATTAAGAGTCACAAGTGTGGTTTTGCAGAACATTTTCAATATGTATTAAAATGTTATAATTACTGTATTTGTTCCTTTGCATTGCATAAGATATTTAAATTCAGGGTGTTCTCTTTCAAAGCTTTGTTCTTAGTTTTATTATCATTCCTGATGACATTTTAATACATATCATGTTGAAAATGTTTGAGTTTTATACTTACAACTTATTTATGATTTTTAACACTAATAAACTAGGTCTTTGTTTAGGTATTGTATTATTGTAGTACATCTCATTGCAATTTGTGCTTAAATTTTAATCCCAGTTTATAGTAACTTTAATAACTTTTATAAACAAGTAGCTATTTACGAGGGCTGTTCGGAAAGTTCGCGGCCTTGCCTATATGCGGCGCTGCGATCAATTTAATTTTTGGCGGGAATAATTCAGCCATCTTTGCTAAAGATACGATACCAATTTCCGCTTGATTTGTCAAAAAGTTTTGCCACGACAGCTTAGCAGATAGTCAGTGTGCACATGCTTTGTCAAAAATGGAGAAGACGGAGACTCGTGCGGTCATAAAATACCTGACGAAAAAAGGGTTGACCCCATCTCAAATCAAAGCTGACATGGATGAAGTTTTAGGAGAGTCTGCTCCTTCGTACACCACTGTGAAAAAATGGACAGCCCTTTTTAAATCTGGCAGAGAAAGTGTGGAAGATGACCCTCGCAGCGGACGGCCGTCAACTGCTGTCACTGAAGAAAACATCGACAAAGTTCACGATTTGGTATTAGCAGATCGCCGTTTGAAAACGCGTGAGATAGCTGAGACAACAGGCATCTCTGTCGACCGAGTGCACCACATCCTAACCGAAGATTTGGGTATGACGAAGGTCTCAGCAAGGTGGGTGCCGCATCTGCTGACCGCCGAGCAAAAACGTGTTCGCACTTTGATGTCAAAGGAGTGTTTGGACTTCTACCAGAAAAACCCACAGGATTTCTTGCGTCGGTTTGTGACTACTGACGAAACGTGGATCCATTACTACACTCCTGAAACAAAAGAACAGTCGAAGCAATGGAAACACCACAGTTCGCCACCACCAAAGAAGGCAAAGACAGTTCCATCAGCGGGTAAAGTGATGGCCTCGGTTTTTTGGGATGCTAAAGGCATCATCTTTATTGACTACCTAGAAAGAGGAAAGACCATTAATGCTGTCTATTACTGTGAACTTTTGGAAAAACTGAAGAAAGAAATCGAAGAAAAGAGGCCACACTTGAAGAAGAAAAAAGTTCTGTTCCACCACGATAATGCACCTGCACATTCCGCCAGAATCACTGAACAAAAGATAAACGAACTTCGCTTCCAATTAGTTCCACATCCACCGTACTCACCTGATTTGGCCCCCAGTGACTTCCACCTTTTTCCAAACCTAAAAAAATTCTTGGCTGGAAAGAGATTCCACTCAAATGACGAAGTCATCTCTGAAGTGAACGAGTATTTTGCACACCTTGACAAATCGACCTATTGTGATGGCATAAAAAAGCTAGAACATCACTGGAATAAGTGCATTGTTAACAGAGGAGATTACATTGAAAAATAAAAAAGTTTTAACATTATTTTGTTTGTTTTTCTATGTGAGGCCACGAACTTTCCGAACAGCCCTCGTATAGTCATAAATTTTGTAAAAAATAAATTTTATATATTTACAATGATTATGAATTGTTAGAAAATAAAAAAAATTGAATCATAATTTTGATAATAAATTATATATTTTGAATAAAAATTATACATATTACTATATTTCTATATTTTATTGTATTCAGTAACATATTATTGGCATATTATATATACTGGATAGTTATAAAATAAGCATCTCTATTTTGAGCTGTAGCTTGAAGGAATAACCCAAATGAAACCAAAATTTAAGAAAGGAGGAAGAAGAATGGAACAAGAGGAAAAAATAGTTTAAAAATTGCCAATAGAGTGTGCTGTAAAGTTTGAAATGTAATGTGTAATGCAAGAAGAAAGAATTAAGGTGCAAAAACCAATGGCATACTGGTATTGGAAAATATCACAGTGTGGTTATGCTGTCGCATGGCATTGATGATCTAGTTCAGGTTACACAAAAATTGTCAATGCCATGTGACAGCATAACCTCACTGTGATATTTTCCAATAAATACGAGTATTTCATCAGTTTTTGCACCAGTATTACACATTATATTTCAAAGTTTACAGCACCCTCTAGTGACAATTTTTTAAACTATTTTTCTCCCTTGTTCTATTCTTCTTCCCCCCTTCTTAAATAGTATGTGTACCAATTTTGGTTTCATTTGGGTTATTCCTTCAAGCTACTAACAGCTACAAATAGAGATACTTATTTTATAACCATCTGGTATATACTAATTATGGAATATACCAATAAGTTATCAGAAAAAATCTAGCAACAAGTTGCTTAACTTTCCTAGCAACATTTAAAATTGTTTGTGTGGCACCATTTGTTATGAATTTAAAATATAAAAAGTTTTTTAATTATTATAAAATGGCAAAAGGCTTAATTTTGAGGGTAGGGATGGATTTTATAAAAAGTTGTAAATGCTAATAATGAGTAAAATTGTCATTAAGTCCGACTCTACATAACACGTGACCCCCCATTTATTTCCCCACACCCTTGACCTTTAATTACCAAAATGTAATAGCATCAATTTTTTAAATATATAAACCTCCCTGCAAACTTTCAGAAATTTTCAACAAACAGCATTGGAGTTATTAAGCTTCAAAGAGGGTGAACAAAATTGTGTCCCCCTCCACACACACATACAAAAAACCCCCAAAGTGTTTTGCTTATTGAGAATACAAATGCTGAATAAATGAATTTAAATTTATTCCAAAGTATTAAGGAAGTTAAAATTTCTAAAAATATCCATCAAATTAACTATTGCAACTGAAAATACCTAAAAATTAGGTAACCTAAATATATAAAATTACTTGTCTTGACTGACTGACTGATTCGTCATTGCCCATAGCAAACTGCTTAACCTAAAAAGGTAAAATTTTGTACACAGGGTATGCCATAAGAATGCACACTAAGAAGGGATTTTTGGAAATTCCTCAGGGGAAATTTCCAAAAATTCCTTCATAAAGTGAAAGGGAGAGGATTAAGGCTTAATCTAAAGAATGGCTTCTACTGTACTATTTTAGATGTGATTTTTTGTTTTTAACTACGTTTAGTCTTCATTGAGTACTTAGGTTTATTAAATTGATAATATTTCAGACATTGTTATAAATATTTATATATATTTCGAATTTTTGATTAAATGTTCAAACCATTTTAAATTTGAATTTGTTATTGCATATTGGTTCGATTATAGAATGATTGTAAACGTTCCAGAAAATTGATCAAATTGAAAACAGTTTGTTTGATTCTCAGCAATTCTCATCATTCTCAGTGGTAGGTATAATTTACTATGGTTGTTGAAATACTGAATATAAATGGGGTTTGCATGCAAAATCCACATGGGCGAAGTTGTGGGTAATAGCTAGTTACCCATACATTGGCAATGTTGTTTATGAAGTTAATAAATTTAACAAAAATAATTAATATTTAGTTTTATTATTTATTTAGTTTAAAATAAAAGCAAATTTGAAATGTAGACAATGGAATCACCCTATTATAATAACATTTCAGGAGGAAGTCTAACTGCAACTTGTTCTTAATCTGTTTTTCTTCTGATAATGTGACAATTCATTAAAAGGGCATCTCTGTAATTGAAGATTTATGTTTGTGTGTGTGTTTTTTTTTGTTCATTTGTCAATGGTGACTGAAATGATGGATTTTGAAGATAAACTTTTTGTATTCGTCAATGTATTTTTACAATGTGACAATTATTGAAAGTGCTTATGTTTAAAGTGTTGTTTTTGTTTTTTAGTCAATTTTATTGTCAACATTGAAGATAGTTTATTTTCTCATAATTAGTGTATCTTGGTGGGTGGTCTGCAGTATCTGTAATATAATAAAATAAAACCATCCTTTTAATTAAAAGATACACCTGTGTTATTTGTTGTTTCTAATTACAGAAAATATCATTTTTGATCATTCACTTATATTATTAAAGTTTTAAAGTCCATTATCCAAAATTCCAAATTGATTAATGGGAAATCTTTGAATTTTCCATGAATTGTAAATGAGACTTTTCAATTTCATATTATTAATAATAGTGTAATAGTATTATATTATATAAAAATTAATTTTTATATGATATTTATATTTATAATACATATTTTATATTAATAAAATTATTATAATTTCTTGTTAAACTATGTATTTCTTTACATAAATTTAACTACATAGCAAGTCTTTATTGAGAGTATTTTTTATAAGAATTAAGTTCTGTTTATAAGAAAATTTTAAATTATTATGATTAATAATTTTCCTAACATTTATTTTTAGCACAAACAAATGCACTTCATTCGGAAAATGCTATAAGAATAATACGATTTGTATATGATTTTGTTGTTTTGGAAAATACAACAGATGAAAGAAGGTTAAGTGAAAAGGTTTGAGAAATTAACTTGTTATTCTTTACAGTTGAACCTCCTATAATGAAGTAGATATGTTCCGCTTTATAAGAATTTCGCATTGTAGGAAACCTCAAATACATGAGCCAGTCACAGCCCGGCACATGTGCAATTTATGGACTACGGCTGATTGAAAGGTTTTCTTCCATAAAATTAATCGATTATAGACTAATTTCACTCAACATTTCCAAAACACATATACTTTTTTGGGAATAATCTGTATAAACTATGCTATAAACAAAAAATTGTAGGATTACTTACCGAGTGTGCCCCATTTGACTACACCATTGCTTAAGCTTGTTTTCGTTGCGGAGCAGTGCACCAAACGGCGGCTGCATTTTCTGATAAGTTATTTTTCTGCGAAAAATTCGTTGAACTTTGGAGACATCATTAATAGAAATAATTTTTATGACCGTTGAATGTTTTTTTCACAAGAAATGTATAAAATTACANAAAATTGTAAAAAAAAAAAAAAAAAAAAAAAAAAAAAACAGACTGAATGTAGCGCGAATTTGAAGCGAGATACCACATTTGAAACAATACTTGCATCCGTAAAAGTACTTTTCCTGCAAAATATGGTGTTTTTTGATAGAAGAATGCCGAATTTTTATAAAAATTCTGTATATGAATATTTTTCATTAGCTTATTATCAGAAAATGGTTTTATCTGTCCTACATTGCTTGAGCCACACTACCCCCTGGAGTTTGTTATAAAGAGAAAAATAGTTTTAAAATTCCCAAACATTTTTAAATTATCAAAATAATCTTTTGACACCATATTGTTAGATTTTCTTAATTTTCATGATTGATAAGATTCAAAATTGACTCTACATATATTCAGATGTTTGATAGATGAAAATATAGTTCAGTAGCAAATTATGCATTTGGAGAGGCTTGAAGTTCAAAGTTTGAGGCCACACCTAACATTTTAAATAGTAAAACTTAATTAAATACAATATTTCTGAGAATTTTGATATATATTTTGTTTAGCAACACTACTCCTTGAAGTATATTTCATATCTAGGATTCCTGTTAAAAATAATGGCAACAGTAAAGGAACATAGAGTAATAAAAAATAGTACCCATCTACTATCAATTTGTTTTTCCCTCTTTTACCTTGAGATGTCAAAATTTGTTAAGTTTCAGTATCAAATGGATGCAGTTATACTTTTATTGATATTAGAAATCTAGTCACAGGATGCAGTAGACTCATCAGTGCTGCCTGTAGTGACTACAAATATCACTATTTGTACTAACAACATAGTCTAAGCTATGCATGTCTACGTAGACCAGCACATTCTTTTGCCTATATCAAATATCACTTGCTGGTGGGTGGCAAGTTGCAGGCAGTGCAACTCTCCACTTGATAGCTAGTGATATATAGTATGTATGGACAGCTTTAATACAGTGTTCACTATGTCTTTTTTGATTTTTATATAAATTCATGTGAGTTAAAGCTGTAAAATGAATAATAGCAAAATTTTTTTTGTTAATTTGAGGACCCTTGAGTATTTGTTGTCCAAGAAATATGTCTTGTATGTCTGTACAACAATCTACTATTGTAATATTGTTGTTTGAAACAATAGATAGGAAGTTCAAAGTTTTTTCAATATAATAAACAGTGGAATTTATTTTAAATTATAATCATTTAGGGATATTATATTGATAATAATGACCAACTCATAACATTAAGCAGAGTAATTAATAAGACTGTAATTAGTGGAAATTCTAATTTTACTGACTGGCCTTAAGAGAGTATAATAAGACAAATAAAAAAAAATATATAACTAGAAGGTTTATTGATTTATTTTTATTATTGTTTTGGAACAAGCTAATTTTGATAATATTATCTATGATTACAAAAAGCAAATTCTACTATACTAACAGCAATTTTTATAATACACTATGGTTGAGTCAAAAAGATAAAGAAAGCTTTTACAATTATTTGAATTGTTTGGATACAGTATTAAATAAAAAGCTTTAACATAAATTACAAAAAAGTCATTATAAATTATTATAATGCATTTATTGATATTAGACAACTCTTTTGGAATGTTAAAAATATATATACAAAAGAAAGAAAAATGCACATTACTTATTTTTATTTAATGAAATCAGAATTAAAATTATATGAATTATTAGTAAATATTATGATTATAAGTGATTTAGATAAAATATAAATTAAATTTTTATAAAATGAGGATAAAAATGAATAAATGAACCGTTAATTGGTAAGATTAATTATTTAAAATAGTTACACTTGAATATATGATCCTATATTGATAATATGTTTATTTTATATTTTATTATTTGTTATTATAGTTGTTGGATAAAGTATTGGCTCTTCTGGATATTTTACTTGTGTTTGAAGAAGGTCCTGAAGAAGGATGGGCAGAAATGGCAGAATTAGGATTAAATATTATATTGATTTGTGCCAAGAGTGATAATCTTGAAGTTAGTATGAACTTTATTTAATAATAATTCTAAAGATTGAAATAATAATAATTTATTAGAGTTCTTAAAACTTGGCACCATATTAACATAGGTACTTCAAATTTTCTTCATCAGGAGCTAAAAAATTTTAAAGTTATTTTTGGAAACATTTTTGATTCTTTTCAAATCTACTTTAGCCACAAATCCTTGAAAATCAAATTTATAACTTTTGACAGAATATAGAATAAAATAGTATGAAACCAATGCTTTTAAATTTCACTATACATCATGATGAGGTAGAGACACTATTTTATTAATCTAATAAATTAAACAGATTCAGTGCTAAAAATGGAAAATATGGATAATAACTAAAGGTAAGACACAGGATGCTAAAAAATATGTTAATAATCTATTTACTCTGCATTTGATGTCAATGGTATTTAAGATAGGCTTTGAACTGTTGCTAATTTTTATTCATCAGCGGCATTAATTATCTTTATGTACCTAGAAAATCAATAGATGTATGACTGCTCTAGTATTTTTATTCAGAATTTTTTTTTAGAATTATCCATAAGAGCTGGTTTGTTCCATAGAATTTTGGCATCATGAACCCAAGCTCATTGCACAAGAATGGAGTTAAACCCATATTGAATAGACCTTACTGGACAAAAATGTTCTTTTATTCTGATACATACAGATCATGTAGCGGATCTTATATAATAGAAGGTTTGAGTCAAATTTACAAAGTTTACAATGTTCACAATTTCACACAGTTGGTACCCAACTTGGTATGCCAATTACACAAAATAAAAATAAAGTTCAAATAGTTCAATATTGCTGATCTTGGTTTGTCGAGAAGACACCTTGCGATGTATTGATGAGTTGTGGCTAGAAGTAATCCTCTTCCGGCGGATGACGAACAAACAGTGAGACGAATTCAGACTTGCCTCGACCACTGATGCACACTTGAAGTCCCAAAACTAAACTTAGACGAAACTGATGAATATCCTGACATGCCAAAGCAAACTTACAAAGTTCCTGTGCTGAAGTGAACTTAAATTAAACAGCACTGAATTCACTTAACTTCGACGAGACTGAACTCAACTTCTATTAACTTAAAACTCCCGCTTTGACATCAGTCCTTTCATAGCCGTCGAAAGTGGGTTGGTTGACCAATCAGTGTATACCGAGCTGTAGCACTATGCAAATAACGTGTGATGTGATTCCTGGCAACCAATCAGCGATTACGAGTTGTAATGCTATGCAAATATGTGATTCTTGTTCAATCAGCTATTACTGAGCCATAGCCTTATGCAAATCATGCCATGTGGCATGATTATCTGTTGACTAATCAGTGGCTGTGCATTCAAAAGCCAACGGCCACTTTCAACCGTCTATCGATGACTGTTACTAGTTCAAAGAAAAACTGGAATCGTGTCTCTACATGATCCAACCCTGACAGTTTGATTATTTTTACTTACCTTCAGAGTGTAAATTCCTGATTTTACTAGTATCTCCATGTTTTTGTTGTTACATAGTATAGTCATGATTGTAGAAGACCTTCTGATGGCTAAAGTTATGCTTATTTGCATAAGACATTACTAATATTGCATTATAAATTTGATTTCAAAGGACTTTTATTGATGCTGATTTGAAAATAACTTAAAAATTTTTGTCTCCTGAATAAACAATTTGAAGTATGTATATAATAATAAATAAAAAACTGTGTACATAAAAACAATTTATGGTATGATAACAAAACGTAAAAAATATTGAAAAAGCAATCATTTTTGAACCCCTTTTGGGCTCTGCATCAGGTTCTTAACCATTCCTGGATGGATATTCGATTACCTAATGCCATTTAAATAACGTTCAATCATAAGTTCAAAACAATTTACAAAAAAACTATGTTGCACATGTGCAACGAGTTGGCCTGCCTGGAAACTATAAATGGCTAGAGTGTGTTGCGAATCAACTCTTGCCAGGCCAATGACAAGACCATCTCCTCTTTAAAATTTATGCATGTGGTTATGATGGAGGATTTAAACATGTGCATAGTCTCTAACATTTTTGAGGTGTTCATTGGGAGGCGCAGCGAGGAGGAGATTGGCCTGAGTAAAGTCAGCCACTATGTCTGGATCTGTGGCATAAGTAATGAGGGCGATGGAAGTTCTCCTGTGATGAATATCTGCCTGATGTTCTTAAATTCTGACACCCATGGACTGTTTAGTAGAGCCTATATATATCAGATCCCTATTGCATGTATTATCCCTTAAAGGGACACTATAGCCTTTGGTCATCTGCTGGGGTTAGGAGGGTCCTTCCCATTACGTAAGATATTAAAAATAGTAGGGCACCTCCTGAAAGCGATTCATACCTGGCATTTCCTGACAACCTTGGCGTATACAGATTTTAGGTGTGGGTTAAAGGTGATGGGGATGCATTCTATGTCTTCTGGTTAGTTATCATTCAGCTGGTCTACCTCCCGTGCATTTTCCAAATGTATACATTGATAACATTGTATCAGCCTATGTACATCTTTGTGATGACTGTGTCCTGCGGCTACACGTTCTACAGATGCTAGTTCGGTATCACAAGCCTAAATGTTAGACAAATGTGTAAAGGCTCTTCTAATTAAGGCTTTATGGGCTGCAGTCTTGTATGAAATCATACATTCTGGTAGTGTTCTGTGATCTGTTTTCACTCACTCTTTAACAGTTCGTTTCTGAATTTCGATGCGAATAGATGTATTTGTGCAGTGAAATTTATTTTGAAAAATTATTTTATAATTAAAAAAATGTCATCAAGAGAAGCAAGTTCTTCGCGTTTTGACGAAAAAACTGTTGATGATAACTCTTTATACAGTGATGTATTGAAGCAGTTGCTAAAAGATGGAGTAGTGTATTATGAGAGTTTACTTTTCAAAAATAATTTAATTGCAACAATTATAAATTTTTTTCATTCAACACATCTAATGTATTATTGTATAATTCTGTGCCTGTCAGCATTAGCATTTTTGGATAGCGTATCAGAAGATGTTGTTGCAATTAAATTATTTTTGAAAAGTAAACTCTCATAATACACTACTCCATCTTTTAGCCGTTGCTTCAATACATCACTGTATAAGCAGTTATCATCAACAGTTTTTTTGTCACAACGTGAAGAACTTGCTTCTCTTGATGACATTTTTTTANATGATAACTCATATACAGTGATGTATTGAAGCAGCGTAGTGATGTAAAATACTAAAGTGCAAGACTCAAACATAATTGAAAAAAGCGAATTTAATATATTGAAGCAATATTGTATAATTACATATCATTGTCAGATGTACTGTACAGTACATGATCCTGAATGATACTTATGGTAAAAACATTCAAAACAAAAATTCAAAAATCAATAAATAATAATAAATAAATGAATGAGTAAATAAATAAAAACATTATAAGTATTTATGAATAAAAAAAAAGGAAAAAGTATACACAAGAGAATCGAACCAAGCACGCAAGCATATGAGTCAGGAGTGTTACCACTCGTGCCACAGCACACTCAAGTGAAAGTACGCGTAAAATACATTATAAGTATTTATGAATAAAAAAAAAGGAAAAAGTATACACAAGGAAATCGAACCCGAGCACTCAAGAGTATGAGGAGCATTACCACTCAGCCACAGGACACTCAAGCGGAAGCATGCGTAACTTATATATAAAGTGCTAAAGAAAACTTTAAGTTTGTTTTTCGTGATTATATTTGAGTGTTGCACTTCAGTATTTTACAGGTAGTACACTCACATGGTGTACTATTTCTACACCAAAGATCATCAAAATTTGTTTCCCCAAAGCTGTAGGGTCTCCTTGTAAGTATGGTACAGGATGTAGAGACATTCCATAGCACTGTAGTCACCTAATATTATTAACATGTCACAAGTATTTTTATTACTGTATGGTATGATTTTTCTGAAGTAAGTGAATGTCTGATCAGTCACTGAAAACAAAGATAAAGTTGTTGTTTTTTAAAGTTTTGAACATGTTTGTTTATTATGTAAATGTGATTAGTAAAATGTGAAAGAAAAGTTTGGTTTATTTTATAAGTAAAAGTTTGATAAGAGATGATAAAAAATCTGTTATATAACTAAGGCTGTTTCTTAGGAAATGCTCTGTCCAACAGTACTCAACTCAATATCTGTTTCAACATGCAAATTCAGTCAGGACCAGTTGGTCCTTTTTCTGCTGGGTCCTGATCGACATCAGTGTCATCAATCAACTCTTCATATGAGCTTTGACAAATAACAAAACAATACTTTGAATTGTTTTGTGATGTTGAATTATATCTTCAAATGAAAAAATTACTACAAAAATAAAATGCAATCAATAATAATAATTTTTTTTATGAATTGTGATGTTAAATACCAATTAATTATGTAATGAAATACTAAACAGCAGTTTTAATGCTATTAAGGATAAATTTTAAACTATTACTAAGGTTATGTTAATGATAATATAAATCTCTAATTATTTATTTTTTAAAAATTGTTTTGTAAATTCTGATGCTAAGTTACTTGTTTAATTTGAAAACCTGTAATTGATTAAAATTACTTTGACTCAATACTATTGATTTTTAATAGCATGATCTTGATATCATCTCATCTTTATGGTTATTAAGACCATAAGTGTAGATATATTACAGATTAGAATTTCTTACTTGAACATTGATGTAATTAATTGAGGGAAACGATACTTACTGCTGCAATATAAATTAAATAAATAAATGTTTTGTTACATTTTTTTAATATATTATTAGTTTATTGTAAATATATTTTATGTATTTATTAATTTATTCATAATATATTTTCAATCTATTAGTTATGTGCCATGGCTACTGCCAAACTTCATGCATTAGTTCAGACAAGGCCAAATGCTAGTTTAGAGGAAACAAGTTATCTTTTATATAATCTTGATTTGATATTAAAACTTACTGTTGAAGATAAAAGTGAAGCAGACGAAATTTCTAAAGGTTGGTTTTTATGAAAAATTAGCAGTTTTTAATAACTTAGAATTAGCCGTTATAAATATTTAGTTTAAAAAATGTAAAATATTTTTTATAATTTTATTATATATTTTATAACACAGCATTATTTTTTTGTAATTTTTTTTCTTAGAAATTTGGAGTTTAATATAAAAATATTAGATTTTAATGAACAAACATTTAAACTTACGACAATAAAATAAAACATCTCTTGATATACGTTTAAATGTATATATTTTTATAATGCTTTAATAAGTTAGAAGAACTCATATTCAACCTGTGAGAGATTATATTTATAACAATAAAAAAAATTTTTGATATTTGAGTTTTAAATAGTATATTTTATATAAACAAACATCACAAAATTCAATAAATTTGTAAAGCTAAACAACATCGGATATATCAGGCTGCTTTTCTGTGATTATATTTTAAAATTAATTACTAAATAATTTGTCACTAATAATTATAATTAAATTAGTATTTATTAAATAATTTCTGGAAGAAAAAAATTGAAAAATTGAACTGCAACTTTTGCTTATCATGCAGATGCATTATCAGTTATGCTACCCGAGCCTTCATTCTGATTTCCTCTTCCAGACATATTTAAATATGATATAACCATCTTTGGTTACAAAATGTGTTGATTGGAGATGCCTTCAATACCTTAATGCCTTCATTATATATGTTTGGAAGAAGAGATTGGACTAAAGGCTGGGTAGCGTAACTGGCAACACATCTGTACGGTAAGCAGGAGTTACATGTTCAAATCCCACTTTGGGTCAATTCTTTTCTTCCAGAATATTCTAAATTATTTAATAAATATTAATTTAATTATAATTATTAAATTTAATAAGAGATGGCACCTAACACCTTCCTCTAGTGACAAATTATTTAATAATTAATTCGAATATAATCACAGAAAAGTATATTCTATTTTGTTAAATGACAGAATTAATAATTATAGATTGCTCTATGAAATTTTGAATGTTTACACAAAATTAATAAATGAATAATAGATATAAATAAATTATAATCTATGGATATATACACACACAAAAATATTTAAGTGTAATATATTGAATAATGTAGTAAAACTTTAAAAAACTTTAATTTTTTCATTTTTTGATAAAAATTAACAGACAATCAAGTATATATATATATACATACATACGCATACATATACTTGATTGTCTGTTACTCAATCAATATATATATTTAAAAAATTATTTTATTATTGAACTATTTATTGACTAAATATAAACATACATGACTTCACATAGTTATAATAAATTAAAAAGCAAAGTTATAATTCAATAATAAAAATCCAGTATTGTTTGACATGCCAACAGTAACAAAATACTAAACTAATAAAATATATTTAATATGATTTTTACATTTTTCAGTTTGGACTTTATTATTAATTTTTATACGTAACTTTTTATTCTCTAAATAAATAGTTTGATTTTAAAAAATTATTTTTTGTTTAATAATTTTAAATGAATAAATTATTTAATTTTTAATAACTGTATGTATGTATGTATGTATGTATATTTATTTATTTATTTATTTTTAGCTGGAAAACAAGAACATTATTCATTTTTAATTCCTGTTGTTCGTGCTTTATTGGAAAAAATTAATGTACATTTTCAAATTCAAAAACATCTTCCTTCTCTTTCTCTTTCAACGGCTGGTCCTGCATTTTTTGAGGAATTTCAACAATATGCACTTAGTTCAGAGTGGAAAAGCTTTATAGAAAAATTGGTAATTATATTTTTATTATATTGGTGATGATAGAATAATCATTTTTTAGATTTCTTTTGTTTTTTTATTTTTTTTAAATCTAAAATATAAAAAAACCAAAAAGCCAGTTGACTAATAGTATGAAAGTGTATTCACTAATTTTTCTTTTTTAATTGTAAATTTTCTTCATAATTTTAATGGATATTACAGTAAGTCTTTGCTTAACATTGTTGATTGTTTAAAGCCAATTAACTACAGCAAAGTGATGTATAATGGTTTAATGAAACTGATTTTATCAAAGGCTAATTGATATGCATAAGAGTTAAGTTTTTATGGCATATTTCTTGTCACAAAAACATCAGTAAAAACTTTTAAATGAAGACCCAAAACACTCTTAATATTAAACATTGAAATAAATGTGAGCTATAAATACATTTAAGAAAGATTAATAAAAACAAGATGTTGATTCACCAAAAATTGGGTAAATAATTATCACTCAATTATTTACCTAATTTTTGGTGAGTACTGATAGCAGTTGTGGTGGGTGATATAGGGAGGATGGCTTAATCCTCATTATTGGTATTAAATAAAGATAAGTAATAAAGTGAAAATTATAAGGATCACTTCCTACCACCATGCAGTTCAAAAACAAACAATTGGCAATTCCAACAAACTATAGAGAGTGCTATGTAAATATTAAAATGGCAAATGTAAATAGGACAAGTTTGTTTATTGTTTACATTGATATTAAGTGATGCCTTACATGTTAATTAATGTAGCTATAGATTTATATTATTTGTAAAAAGATGAAAGTATAATAAATGCAAATTATATTCAAATTTCAAGAAAATAATTTAGTTATAATAATTTTATTTGATCATAATTGCAATCTCTAGCATTTAATTCTCATCTCATAGAATGAATGTAATGTTTATAAAATTCAACAAGAATTGTAAATGATTAAAAATGTACTTTTATTTTTTCTAATCAATGTTATAATGAAATGATGTTGAATGAAACAAAGTGAAGTGAGGATTTACTATTCATTTTTTAAAATAATGTTTTCATTATAGTTTACTAAATTTTTACATTTTATTAAAGTACAATTATTTTAGTGTTGTATTTTTATTATTTGTGTGAAAATAACTTGATAAATAGAAAGTATATATTCATAGCACACTTTTTCTATATTTTTATATTGAAGTGATGTCTTCCTGTTTTTTCTATTTTCTGACAAAACTTTTTCTTGGTTTTGATATTTTATGGAATTCCAGCTATTTCTCATATTCTTTGAAGGGGGATTTGATGATGATTCAGAATATGTAATTTTATTTCTTAATTTTCTGTAATTTTCTCACAGTAGTTAGTTCATGAAATTGATAGACAGTGAGATCCATTTGATTTCAATTCTATTAAATTTTCCTGATATATCTCTGTTGAGTTTCATAGTCAGTTTCATAAAGAACATTGCTTATCATTATGTTCATTATTATGCTTCTTATGAGCATATGTTGTGAGTCATCATCAAAGAGATCTGTTTGAAATGACATATTATGGTGTTGCCAACTTATCTGCTATAAAACAAATAGAAAATTGAAATAATATCATGACTGGTCGCATTACAGTAGAGCCTCGATTATCCGACCCCCAATCAACCGACCCCTCGGTTAACCGATCGTCCTAGTCGGCAAATTTCAAATGCCAACTAGTGATGTGGCGCTACAATATTTGGCTATGTCTTGGCTACTTTAATATTATTTTTACGTGTTTTAGCTGGCAACACTCATTCGACCATGAAAGGGTGCCAGTATTTAAACGAGGCTTAATTTTCTAATTTTTAACGATACAATAGCAACGATTATTATTAAAAAAATTTTTGTTAGGCTTAACATCGATGAAAATTCAACGCAAAGTAGGTTAATAGCGATATACTAATATACTAATTACATGGGATATAATAATATACTACACTAATAATGGACTTTTTCATACTTTTCGGTTATCCGCCCTTTCAATTATCCGACCAACCCCAGTCCCCAATTAGGTCGGATAATCGAGGCTCTACTGTACTAACAAAATGAGTGTAGACAAAGTAATTAAGTCATAATCCTTAAAGAAAGAGTAATAGTAAATTTATAGAGCAAATATGTTGCTTATATGTTGGGAGCAGCTATATAAATTACTTCTATTATTATTATGAAGGAAGATGGCAACAGCAAAAAATAAAAACTGTGGTCACTTTGAATAATCTTACTTCACAAGAGTTAAATATTGTAATGACAAATGTAAATAGTTTACTTTAGCTTTTCATTTTAAAAAATATTACTTTTTTAATATAAAAAATGAATGACAGTAAGTATATATTTGTTTAATCTCAATTTATGTAAATAACATTATCAAATGAAATAATTATTAGAACTTAAAATGCATTTTATTCAAATTGATTAAAATTATTTTTGAAAGAAAGCAATGGAATGAAGTAAATGTAAGATAACCTATTGATAAAGCTTTCTGCCAGAGACTGAAACATTATAATTCAACAGTTTATGAAAAAATAGAAAAATAATGTTAAGATTAATATAAATGTAATAATTTTATAAGAAATAGCCTTGAGAATGATTCTGTACTTTGTGAAATTGATATATGTGCAGCAGAAGATAACATAACAAAAGAAAAGTTTGGACTTACATAATTCTTTACATTTATCACAAAAATTAGCTTGTATTTTTTATTTATTTATTTTAGTACAAGGTACAAATACCCTTTGTATGGGGAACACAAAAAGGAAATACTAAACAAACATTGTCTCATAACAAACAAATATAATAAATATAATACAGTAAAAAGATAATCTCTGTATAAAGTCCAAATCCATACATGCAAAAACCAAAACATAATATACAATAATCATAACATATATGCAACATTTCATACATAATACAGCTTCTGTACATAAATAAAATATCCAGTACAAGAAAATATAATTACAAAAACATAATACAAAATCCCATACATGATAATTAGTACATATTATTCCAAAACATACACAATTAACTAGTAAACAAACGGTGACAAACTGTGAAAACCTGATGTGATAACATTAAAAATGAACAAAATTTAAAATAATAAAACTAACAAATAAAAATTAAAGAAATAAAATAATTAAATTTACCTACCTGAAAAAATAGGCAAAATAGGTTAGCAAAAGATCATCACAGCCAATCAACACCAAATTAACCCCCACAAGAACTGACTCCAATGCTCTTTTAATACTGAGCAACACTGCTGCCTTCCGAAATACAATTTAAACAAGGTTTATAAAACAAAGAAATAAAATGAAGTATATTCAACATGTTAGCAAAAGAAAATCCTGTGATATTTAAAAAATTTACCCAAGATAACCTAACCTTTCCAAAATACTGTTTTTGCTTACGTGCAAACTTAACACACACACACAAACAATATGGAAAGAATTCTCTATTGTAAACTTATTGTAAAAAGAGCATTTATGATCCTCAAACCTCTTCAAATACAAAACCGAATCAGATCTAACAGACAAAATTATCTTAATAAAATTGAAGGAAAAATTTGAATTTAAATATTTTTCTGTTCTAAAACTTAATTCTGCTGGTTGATTCCAGAGAAAGTTGTCATTCAGAGTAATTCTATTTCTAAACTCCCACAGTAATGAATTGGAAATGCGCAACATAAAATCCGCACAACATAAATCACCGTTATACCACTGAGAATAAGAACCATAGTGGTTAAGTAATTTTTTTACTCCATCTCCCCAATCAGAATTATTGTTGAAAAGAAAAGTCCTACAAGTTCGCACCAAAGATGATTTACAGTTCAAACTATCCAGCCATCTCAGTACTTTTTTAATAATAATAAAGTAAATGGGATATCTACCAAATTCTAACACTAAAAAATAATGTGAAACCCAGCATCCTAAGCAGTAAGCATGACGAATAAGTTCTATTGCAGGTGTGACCAAACTTTTATCCCTTAGGGGCTACTTTTTTGGTAAAATATAGTCTGCGGGCGACTATGAATATGGGCAAACAATTTTAGGATTTTTATATGCGCATGCATTAACATTCATTTGCATTGTTCATCGGGATAAATACAAACAGTACAGGTATGTTGCACAGACAGTCTATTATTGTAAGAATAAATTATCAAATTAAGATTTTTAAACATTAATTTAAGTGAAAGCAGATTGTTCAACTTTAGCTTCGCGGGCTACTTTCAAAACCTTTGCGGTCGACCGTGGCCTACATGTTGGCCATCCCTGTTCTATTGGATAACTTCATACCTTATATTCCAGTCATAAACCAATATTTAAAAATATATAAAATTCATATTTCAGTTTCAAACAACACTATAGATAACAACTGAGATTCATATAAATGAAGTTTGTCATTCCATTTAGCCAATCTCCCCTTCACACAAGTTTGCATAATCTTAAATGACAGAGCTTCTGTCTTCTTCCTCATTAAGTCGAGATGTTTGACAAATCTACCATTCAAACAAAATAATACACCCAGATATTTAGATTCTTGGACCACCACAATGTTACAACCTCTATAAAACTACTTTTCTTTAACAGAACCCATGCCACCTTTCCTAAAAACCACAATTTTCGATTTAACCAAATTAACTTCCAGTGCCATGTTACAAACAAATGACTTTTAAACATTAATTATCCTCTGTATGTTCAACACAGAATCAGTGACCAACACAATATCATCAGTGTAAGCCAAAATTTTCAATTCAATTCCCTCAAAATCAAAGCCAGAAGCATTGCAATTATTAACTTCTGTAATCAAATCATTTAAGTAAAAGTTGAAAAGCAAAGGACTAAAAACACAGCCCTGACATGCACCTTTTCACGTATAAAAATTTTGTGTTACCTCTTCCGTGTGTAGACATGCAGAAGAACTGTCCAATACATTAAGCAAATTGACAAATTTATAACTTAATCCATTCTTTCACAATGTATGCCATAAAAGGTCTCT